CCCTTAGATCTATATGTTACTGTGTTGGCTGATGGCATCTACTAGATCCACTGATGCTTTCACATTTTCTTCTACTTCAGGAAACATAGGCAAGTGTTAAAACTGTACGCATAAAAGAAACACAGGGACACACACACACACCAACCCAGCTATCCCTTGTTGAAAGGGAATGTCTGAAAAGAAACTAACTCTTGTGGCCAGCTCTGGGGATCAAGAAGCCTGCAGAATTAAGGTTTCTTATTCATGCAGGAGATTGCATTTTCAGCCAAATGAAAATGTCCAAATGAAAGGATTTTCAGAAATGTGAATATTCTTGCAGTCTTTCTTCACATCAACATGGGGAAGACAGGGCGGAAGGACACGGCATCTCCTCCCCACTTACAGTTTCAGGAAGCTTGCATGGGCCTGCTGTGCTTTTTTAAATATCCTTGTTACATTTGTCAAATGAAGACTGATGAACCTATTTCATATTGCATGAGAGGACAGCACATGACACACAATAGAGCCAGTGACATTCACAAGTCATTTCCCTGAAGATGGTGTCTGAAGCATCATTTCTAAAGAATCTTGGGACACCTTTTCTACATATATTCCTAACCTCTAGGAAACATTCAAGTTTTATAACCTGTGAGTTTCAATTTTTTTCTGTAAATTATATCAATTTAGATTCAACACTATAATTGCCAATATCCTTGTCTAATATTCTGCAATATAACATAAATACTAACAACTGATAATTACAGTGACAAAATATCATACTATTGAACTGAAGCTCAATCCAGACAAGATGGAGGTCCTGTTGGTTGGTGGCTTGGGCCTCAGGACGGGGGACTTGGGCCTTGTCCTAAATGGGGTTGCACTCCCTCTGAGGGACAGGGTTCGCAGCTTAGGAGTGCTCCTTGACCCTGAGCTGTCTCTAGAAGCTCAGGTGATGGCGGTGGCGAGGAGCGCCTTCCTTCAGCTTCGGCTGATACATCAGCTGCTGATACATCTCCTTCCTGGAGAATGACTGCCTGGTGACAGTGGCACACGCGCTGGTAACTTCCCGATTAGATTTCTGTAACGCACTCTACGTGGGGCTACCCTTGAAGACGGTCCGGATACTTCAGTTGGTGCAGAACAGAGCTGCCAGGTTGCTGACGGGAACTGGGCGTTGTTCTCATATAACCCAAGTTCTCCGTCAGCTCCACTGGCTCCCAGTTGAAGTCCGGGCCCAATTCAAGGTGTTGTTGATGACCTATAAAGCCCTCAACGGCTTGGGACCTGGATATCTAAAGGAACGCTTGTGCCCATATATGCCCTCCTGCCCCTTGAGAGCAGCAATGGATGCCCTTCTCCGGGAACCCTCTGTGAATGATATTAGAGGGCTTTCTCTGTGGTGGCGCCCCATCTATGGAATGTGCTCCCCAGAGAGGTCCGCCTGGCGCCATCGTTATTTGTTTTTTGGCGCCAGGCTAAGACCCTTTTATTTAAAACTTATTTTAATTGTTAAATTATTTGAATTAATAGGATTTTAAATTTTTAGCCAAGAATGCACCAGGGATTTTTAAACTTTTTTAAAGTTATATTGTTATTATTTATGTATCTATGTATCCTTTGTGAGCTGCCCCGAGGCTTTGTTGCAATGGGGGCGGCATAGACATGTTTTAAATAAATAAATAAATAAATAAATAAATAAACAAACAAACAAACAAACAAACAAACACTATTGAATAAGTAGTTGAATAACTATGATATCCCAGTAACTTGGGTATCCATGTTGTAATATAAAAAGAAGCTCAACAGTTTCCTTTGCAATGTATTACCAAGAAAAATACTAAATTTTAAACTCTGAAACTTTGGGCTTTCTTTGTGAATCTTCTTGTCACCTGGGAAGTATGATTTGTTTGATTTTTCCCCATGGATAGTGCATTTTTCATGCAGTCCTAAACAGCATTTTCTCAACATTGTTAACAAGTCTATTTGAACTCAAGTACTGTCAAACACATCAAGAAAGGGCTGCTTTTATTTGAAGAATGAACCATCTAGGTTTTGGGTTAACTTGCATCTTTTAAATTAATCAAGGTGTTTTACGAGCCAGTGTGCTACAAAAAAGTATTCATCATCTTTTATATGGAATTGAGAGTATAAACCATTTGGCACTAGCAAATTGCCAGTGGAAATAAATAACTGGAGTGTATTTTTCCTTCCAGGCTCACCACAGAATTAGGGTTATTCTTGCAATGTGTTCTCTACATTAAACGTTTTTAAAACTTCCAAAAATGTAATGTCTGTATTCTTCATCACTGATCATGTTGAATTTGAATGGTTGTAAACCCAACAAGTGTACAACTGTGAAGAGTCCCCCCAATTTTCTCTACAGGTTTCCGTGATAGGTTTACAATCTTACATCCATTTACCCATGAAAAGGCCCCATTGAAGCCATGTGGTTGTTTCTCCTGAAAACATATTCATCAAATATTTGTAGAATAGAATGCTCAGAAGAAATAAGGACTGTTGCAGTAGCAATCGAATGCTGTTCTGAAATAGCTGCCAAGATATCGGACCTTATTGTAGAGTGTTGTGCTTAAAGAGGAAAATATAGCAGTTAAATAATTCTAAGGCAAGCAAACCATATTTAGCCTGCTGTCCCTAATTCCAGGACAAACAGGCCATTTAGTTCCTTTCAGGACTTTCTTTGTGAAACAGAAAAACTGCAAGCAGAACCCTTCGGGAGCCACCCATTTGATTGGAAAAGCGCAGTGGTTGCTTGTTGGTGGCTTGGCAAAGGCACTGGGTATGGAGACCCAGTTCTCAAGCTGCAGTGTAGTCGTGATTCTAACGCATTCTATTTGGGATTGCCCTTACAGGGTAGGAATGAGAAATCTGTGGCCATCCAGATGTTCTTACGCTGCAGTTCCCATCATCCCTCATTCTTGGCAATGAGGACTAGGACTGATGGAAGTTAGGGCCGCACAATCTCTAACCCTATTGCTGGGCCTAATAAAAACCCTTGGTTTGGGAACACAAGGTGGATGATCCTCCATCCTTCTGCCTAACCACCATGAGGTGACTGCCTTCAGCCACTTTCCAGGAATCAAACATGATTCTTGATCTTGTGAGTGTTTGAAACATGTCCTGATTTCAAAAAGGCTTGGTTTTGAGAGGAGTGAATTCCTGCAATCAGGACTACTAGAAATCCTCTAGGTAGTTTTGGGGTATGGTATGCACACCATCTGCTGCGAAGGGAATGGCATGTGTGAGGCAGTGTGTATGCCAGATTGCCCCTTCTTTGCCTCTCAGAAAAGGACTAGATCAGTCAATCGGCACTCATATGTCCTGTAATGCATATTAGAGCATGCATGCAATCAGGGTTGTGGTACACAGTAGACGATGTGGGGCAGACAAGGGGGTTACGATCTGCTGTGCACATGTGAAGGTTTCAAAAGGTGACAGGTTCCATAAAGTTGAGTTGCATAACTTTAAAATACATTGAGAATGAAGATGATTGACTTGCCTTTTGTGTGCAGGTGACAGGTCACCAGTTTCCATCCAGTGGATCTTTTAGCTACAGATCTCTGGGATCTGTTGCACATCGTCTGCAGCATCCTTCCCCAACCTGGTGACCTTCAGAGGCATTTGGACCACAACTCCCAGAATTCCCATCTAGCAGGGCCATTGACTCTGCGTGTTGCAATCCAAAAGTGTCCGGAAGGCACAAGGTTGGGGAAGGCTGTTCTACAGCATCCTTCTCCAACATGGTGTTTTTGAAATATTCTGGATTACAATTCCAAGCATTCTTCACCATTGGTTATGCTGAAAACCTCTGGAGGGCACTGGGGCAGGGATGGACTATTCTAGAGGGTCCTTCCCATCTGTCAGGAGAAAGGGTTTTTTTGGGGGGGTGCGGGGGCTGAGGACCTGCTGTGGAAAGGAAGCAGGGGAATCATAGTGTGCACCCAAAAGCAACATACAGTTCATTGATCCAAACTTCTCTGTTCTCCTTTTCCTGTAAACCTGAAATACCTCCGATCTTTGGTTATTTTGGCTGCAATAAATATCCTGTGCTGTGGATTATATCAAAAATACATTCATGTGGTGTGTGGATGAACTATTTTGTCTCAACTTGTTTCTGGTAATTTTCTTATGGAAATGTTATGACAATCGTCCTAGATATTTTGGCTTTTCTCCCTCAGATGATGAATTATGTATTTCCTTGGATAACATGTTTTTCTTTCATAAAGACCCAAACCCCTAAAGTACAAAGGAGAGAATATTTCTTCTTAGTGGCAAAACTACATATTACTTACCATCAAGCTCCAATCCACGCTTGGAAAGCCAAGAACAGGTGCAAGGACTCCAACATTTCATAAGAGTACACATTAGCACTTCCACAAAAGATATGAATCATACACAATACTTTGAGTGCCTACATTTACATGCTGCTTCACAAGTTATTCAGCGTAATTTCAATTCCATAAAAAAAACATTCCCCTTCACAACAACACGCACAACTCTAAAATGGGTAGGAAACTTGTGTCCTTCAGAATGTTTGACCTACAGTTCCTATCATCCCTCAACATTGACTGTGCTGGCTAGAACTGATGGAAGCTGTAGGCCAAAATATCTGGAGGACAACACAAGAACAGAGAGAATGAACATAGTCAAAAGTGTTGTTTGGTACAGAAATTACGTAATGTTTGATACCAGTTATACCCTTTGCTTGAGGTATGGCTTGTTTATAGCTGAAACTGTAGCAACTGAAAAAGCAAATGAGCTTCCTGTATTTTCACTACTTGTGCTAAGACATACCAGGAAGATAGTTGACTCCCATCTCTTCTGCCGTCTTTCAGACATGAGCATTGATTCATACAGGTTACTCTGGATATTAGATAACATGGCTGATACATCCTGGCCTTCAAAAATGGTTCAATTTTTTCCAGATGGGTGGTTTGAAAATGTGTAGCTGTGATTGTCCATTGTGGCCTTACTTCTCACTTTATGCTCTCCTTTGTTTGCAGATTGATTTTGAAGATGTGATTGCTGAACCCCAGGGAACCCACAGCTTTGACGGGGTCTGGAAAGCCAGCTTCACCACTTTCACTGTGACAAAATACTGGTTTTACCGCTTACTGTCTGCAATCTTTGGCATTCCCATGGCTCTCATCTGGGGCATCTACTTTGCCATTTTGTCATTCCTCCACATCTGGGCAGTGGTGCCCTGCATCCGGAGCTACTTGATTGAGATTCAGTGCATCGGCCGAGTTTATTCTATCTGTATCCACACCTTCTGTGACCCGTTCTATGAGGCTGTTGGCAAAATGTTCAGCTCTATAAGAGCAACAGTACAGAAGGATGTGTAACTGACATTTCAAGGAGTACACAGAGTGGGTCTTCTCTTCCCCCCTGCCATTTTTTGGTGCCAGTCTCAATGATGAACGAAGTGACCGGCATTCAACAGTATCAGTTATTGAAGCAATCAAGTCCAACTTGAATGCAGCAAAGAATTGCTTACTAAAACTTTCTTACTACGTAATCCTTCCTGGATTTATATTGCTCACTGTTTTCAGGAGGGAGTTCAGTTAGCTTTATAAACACACACACACTAAAATTTGCTGCTTTCCCATTCCTATCTGCCTATTATTTTGCTGACCCTTTGGCAAACCGACATATTCTGCTTACCCCTTCCATTCATTTGTTGCAAATTAAATTCTCAACAATATAATAAAGAACTGCCAAAAGCAAAAATCTTTCCAGCACTATAACACTGCTTTTCATTTTACTGTGAGCAAATGGGGTCTAAAGCTATTTCAGCATAATGGACATGATAAGCTGGCAGATTTTTAAAGAATGTTCTTTTTCAAATGTATTGTGTTCGACTGTAGCTCTTTCCTGTAGTGGACAATATCTAACTGCTACACACAGCTAGATCTAAGTAAATAACTAATATATATGCTTGACGAGAGAGAGAGAGAGAAAGAGAGAGAAATCCAAAGCCTTCAACTTGGACAACATTGCACATCCTCAGAAAGCTACAACCTGGCTTCTTCTTTCCTGTTTTTTTGTCCCCACTGAGAGATGACTTGCAGATCTTTATATCAATAAAAGGTATACGGAAGGCACTGCCTTAATACTTTAAAAAATGTCACATCATTCATCTAACCCTGTATCACGAACTTCTGATGGGTGGCTCTAGGACTTCCTGGATCTCCCTGTAGAGTTCTTCCACTTCTTCTTTAGATCCCCCTTACTGGATGTGCCAAGAATGGACCATAAAGCCTCCTATAAATGCAAAATGAACATGTCATCACCAGACCATGGATTCCAGTATTCAGGCTCAACATTCAAGCCAAAACTGTGTTGCAAACACATTTTCTGGACTTTGGGTCAAGTTCAAAAGCACTTGCATCTGCAGAGCTCCTACAACATCGTCCCATTTATATGATGCTTCATCCCCAAGCTAAGATTTAGGCAGGGATACCATATTCACTGCAGCAACACTGAGCAAAGCAGACAAGGAAATATCACTGTGGAGGATCAACTGTTCTTTTTGCAGGGGAAACATGTCAAGATGTGTCCAGTGAATGCAGAGTTTTCCAGCTATGAACTGGGGTTTTAAGGGTGGTTTGGTTTGGTGGTTTTATGAGGGGCAGCATTAAAATTCCCTCGTCAGCCAAGGTCAGCATGCTGCCAGTACATTCACGCTTTGCTTATTTCGCACTAATCCACCACGAGAAGAGTGGCTTTAGCAGCCCTACATGGCAATTCCCTTTTTTCCACTCCTCAGCGAGCTGTATGCATCAATCAGGAAGCCTTCATGGAGGTAATTTGTGTGAAACTGACTGAAAAATATACAGAAATAAAGCATTTGCAACATTATTTCATGCTGTGACCTGATTAGGGGCTCTCTGCGATGAACCATGCTGAGAAAGAACCATCCTTGATTTGCCTGAATCTGTTTGTTGCTTTTTTCAAAAAGTAGCTGTGAGGTTATGTTAGCTGGGATAAGCCTTCTTATGAATTTAAACTGAGGAATTTCAAGGCCTGAGCTTGCTCTTGCTGGGATCAATCCCAGGGAGGACTTGTTTGAATCTTTAGCACAAAACCTGTAGTGACTTTCAGGTACAGCCCACCTGTCACCTGAGAATTCCTTGCATAATTCTTCTTACTGTAGAATTGCTTTAAGCCTGTTTTACTTTAATAGGACACTTAACAGTACAATCCTATGCATGTGTACTCAGACGTTGATCCCATGCAGTTCAAAGGGATCAGTGCCACCCACGATCCTTGGCAGCCTGAAGTGAAGTTTGAATGGTGCCACCTTTCACCACGAATTCCAGCATGGTCAGCCTTTGAAGCAGTCAGGTTTCTTCTTGCCACCTTCACCCCAGATAGTGCTGCCTGAAGTAGGACACAGTAAGGCCAGACTCCTAGTAAGTGTGCAAAGGATTGTAGCCTTAGTCCACCAGCAGCACTGCCCACGTTGTGACTGATAGGCGACTTCTGTTGCCAGCCTAGTGCTTATTGGAGATCAGCCTTGGATTCCTTTCTTAATTGAACAGCTTATCATTGTTACAAGCTGCTTGCATAAATTGCACAAATGAGGTCAAGATGGCCTGGGCTGCGAATCACACTGATTTTTGAAATGGCACCCCTAATCCACTGTTTCCAAGGGATTTCTGGGTGACCATTTCATTGCAAAATAAATGGACAGTTGTTGCAAAAGATCCATTCATCCTTCCATAATCTGATGCTTTTTGGTTGGGGACAAACTATTCCCCTATATTGGTCTGCAGGTATCATATGCACATTTATTCACTGTCATTTTTCCAATACTCAAGCAGTAATACTTTACTGCTGGAGAAATTTAATTCTTTCTCCAACAAGTATATTTAATTACAGTATTTAGGGTGCAGCATGGAATGTAGTTTCCAAGACAAGAAGCACCTGCTTCCCCCTTCCAAAACTTTTTTGAAAGTCTTAGTTTAATAGCATTTCTCCCACCTTGTCTTTTAATTACTATCTGCTCTTGACTGCCTTTACTCAAGCAAGGAAACAGCAATAAGGCCATAAAAGCCGTGAACCCGAGGAAGGTGACGTGCTGTCCTAACATTTTACCATTATCCTATTTCTCCTCTAGGTACCTTTGCAATTTTGTGAATGTGTCACGAGTGGGCTCACGAGTGGCTGTCATGAGGGCATCTTGCCCATTCACAAAATGGCTGCTGGGTTTGGTGTAGCTGGTCACAGAACACTAAATTCCCCGAAGCCAAACTGGTGAGGATAAAAGAAAAACAAATTCCCTAAGAAACTAAGGATGAGGGAGGGGGAGGGGGAGCCAAAATACTCAGCTGTCCCTCTGAACCCAAATAAAGATGGTGTTGGAAGGCAGCACTTTGCTTTGCAGCAAGTCAACTTCCTGGGGGGGGGGGGGGTTGGTTTTTTTTTTTTTAAATTTTAAAAATAATATAAAACTGGGAGAGACAGAAAACTTGGTGGGTGCAGGTTGGGTGTACTGACCCTTAGCAACATTATGCTCACAATCCCAGTTGTGTGGGCCCATGCCTGAAAAATGCTAAAAATTAACATTTTATCATTTGTAAGAGACATAGTAGTTGCCCTGACCAATTTAGCCCTAGTCACTAAGTATGTAACGGGAGGCTTCTGTGCAGTTCCACACATGTTGCTCAAAAGGAGCTAGGCTGTATTCAGTGTCCAGAGAAACCTTGCAAAGTTGAAAAGGGAAAATGAAGTGGGGTATTGCCCACAGGATCTGCTTTACTCAGGGTGCAAGTCACTACTGAAGCCAATGACAAAATGGCAATTTTCAGTAATTCTAAGTGGTTCCCCCAACACTAGCAGGCCTTCAAACATGAAAATGGAACTTCTGTGGATGGGGCGTGTCTTTGTTGTTGGCACATACATTGCAAACCCAGCAACTAAACATTTTTCTCTCTTTTTACGTTGAAAAAACACTGGTCTGGCTATAGTTTTATGTTTTTACTATGTACATAACTGAGAGTGTACTGTTAGATATATATTTTGCAGTATTGCAATGCACATTTGGTGAGAATGTAAACGAGATATATTTTATCTTTACATAAGGAAAATCACTTTGAAATCTATTGCGTTTAAATTGTGTATTCAGAAGGAGTTCCCAAATGCAAATAAATAGCTGATCCAGGATATTTACATAGCTATTGTATGCTTACAAGGTATAATAAGTCACATTTTTTATTCTGCATGTTCAACATCCAAGGCTACAATCTGCACAATAAAAGCTGTTTTCATAGAAAATTCTGAGTAATGCTTTTCTTTAAAAAGATGTGATTTCAAACACAAGTTCCAACTGAAATTTTATTTTATCCTTGTGTGTGTGTGTGTGTGTGGGCTTTTGTCTGGGAGAACTGGCCGAGTGAGGGGTACTGCAGGACAGACAAGGCAGGGGACCAAGGTAGAGTCTTGGAAGAGTTCCCAATGGCAGACCAGGAGATGGCCTTGGTGGGAGTCACGGGTGTTGCTGTCCACTGCGACAGCTGTGACATGTTCACCCTTCTCTCCCAGGAGAGGCAGGGTTACACTTGCCCTCGGTGTAAGCTGGTGGTCCTGCTAGAGGAGGAGTTGAGGTGCCTGAGGGCGAGAGAGCTCTCCAGGCCCCCCGGGAGCAGCCCCCCTCTGAACAGAGGGTTGAGGGAGAGGCCACAGGAGCAGCAGCCGGGGAGACATGGAGGCATGTGACCAATCTGGAGCTGGGAAACAGGTTCTCTTCGCTTGGGGAGGCTGGGGCTGATGAGGCCTTGGGGGACCAGCAGGACCCCCAGCCTGGGACCACATGTGACAAGGGGGCCACTGCAGGAGAGGCGAGGGCCAGGGCACAGCCACCCACCACCACCACCGGGAAGGTATGGCAGCGGGTGATTGTTGTTGGGGACTCCCTGCTGAGGGGCACTGAGGTGGCAGTGTGCCGCCCCAACCTGGAGACAAGGGAGGTTTGCTGCCTGCCGGGCACACGCATCCAGCATGTGAAGGACAGAGTGGAGCATCTTGTTCGCTCTGGGGGTCACCAGCCGCTCCTGGTGATCCATGTGGGCACAAACGATGTGGCCAGGCAGGGTGTGGTTGGGACCACCAGGGACTTTGAGGCCTTGGGGAAGAAACTCAGGGAGCTGAAGGCCCAAGTGGCCTTCTCATCAATCTTGCCGGTCTGTGGATTTGGGACAGGAGGGTCTCCAAGGTGACCGACTGGCTTAGGATGTGGTGCCAGAAGGAACGCTTTGGGTTCCTCGACCACGGCACTTGGTTTCTTGCCAATGGACTCCTGCATGGGACAGGTTACACCTCACGAGGATGGGGAAAAGGTCCTTTGGAGATGCTCTAGCGAGCTTCATCCAGAAGACTTTAAACTGAGCGGGGGGGTTCAGGCCCCCCAGAAACATGTCTGCACTGAACAAGTGTGGGGAGAGGATCAGGGCTCTGGGAGCAGAGTTTTAGAGGTACTGCAGGGTCTGACAGGACTCCTACAGAGAGGGGCCAGGTATCAGGGAGGATGGAAGGAAGGAGGAGGCTGGGAACTCCAAGGAAAGGAAGCGGGAAAGAGTTGAGATGCATGTACACCAATGCTAGGAGGAGCTTGAAGCTCTCCTGGGAATAGGAGGGTATGACCTGGTGGGAATCACAGAAACTTGGTGGGATGAAAGGCAAGTCTGGAATGTGAACATAGGTATCACCTTTTTAGAAAGGACAGGAAGGGAAAGAGGTGGGGGGCGTGGCTTTATATGTCAGGGAAGGGATAGGATGCAGTGAGATAGAATGTAGCACAGATGGGGATTTGGTAGAGGCAGTCTGGGTGAAACTTGGGGGTTTTGACAGGGAAAGAGACCTGACAGTGGGGGTATGTTATCGCCCTCCAGGTCAACTTGAGACCCTGGATGATGTCCTGGCAGGCCAGATTCTAAGGATATCTTGGGGGAGAGACACAGTAATTATGGGAGATTTCAATCTCCCGGATATTAGTTGGGAGACTCACTCAGTGGTGACAGCCAAGTCAAGTTACTTCCTAGAAGCTATAGAGGGAGGGTTTTTCACACAGAGGGTCCAAGAGGCGATGGGGGGGGGGGACATCCTTGACTTGGTCTTAACCAATAGAGAGGAGCTGATGAAGTACAAATTAGGGGAGTTCTGGATGCGAGTGATCACTCCATCCTTTGCTTTGAGATCAGGGGACTGGGGACGTGCAGCAGGTCGAGCACTAGAAGCTGGGACTTCGAGCTGGGACTTCAACTTTGGCCAACTGAAGGCCAGACTGGGGAAACTCTCCTGGGATAGGTTACTGGAAGGTGAGCGAGTTGAGGAGGGGTGGATGGCACTCAAAAGGGAGGTTTTGGAGGTGCAAGCCTTGACGATACCTTTAGTTAGTAAGGTGGGGAGGTGGAAGAGAGCACCGCCATGGATGTGAAAGGAGGTGGTTAGAGGGATTAGACAAAAAAGGAACCTCTAGGAAATGGGTACTGGGGCAAATAGACAAAAGGGTATACCGGGAGGAGGAGGCCTGTTGCAGAAGGATTCTTCGCAAGGCTTAAGGCTGATTACGAACTGAGACTTGCCAAGAATATCAAGAGCAACAAAAAGGGCTTCTTTCAGTGACTGATACGAGGGAACAGGCACAGATGCTAAATGACTATTTTGCCTCTGTGTTCTCCCCAAAGCAGGATGGGGGATATCCTCATAGGAGATTAGATGAGGCTGGGGACTTAGGGACACAGATTAGAGTCACCCCCCCCTGAAGTCGAGGGGCTCCTTAGGGCATGGGACATTACAATGGCTCCAGGCCCTGACAGGGTACACCCGAGAGTTGGCAGGGGTTCTCTCACACCCGCTGGCCACCATTTTTGAGGCCTCATGGAGAACAGGTGAAGTTCCAGAGGACTGGAGGGTGGCATCAGTGGTCCCAATTTTCAAAAAGGGTAATAGAAGGGACATGGGGAATTACAGATATGTTAGCCTTATGTCCATTGTAGGAAAAATAATGGAAAGGCTCATAATAGAGAGAGATCTAGTGATGCTAGATAGGGAAGGGAGGCTGACAGCCACACAACACGGCTTCCACAAAAACAGGTCCTGCCAGACAAATCTTGTGGAATTCTACAGCAAGGTTTCAAGATGGCTGGATGGAGGGGATGCAGTGGATGTGGTATACCTGGATTTCAGCAAGGCCTTTGACAAATACATCAAAGCACTGTCCAGTTGATTAGGGCATGATTGACTAACTGAAAGCAGAGGGTAACCATTAGTGGGGAATCATCGGGATGGCGGCCAGTGACAAGTGGGGTCCCCCAGGGCTCTGTCCTAGGGCCGATCCTGTTTAATCTTTTCATAAATGACATGGAAGAAGGGGTGAACAGTCTGCTGATCAGATTCACAGATGACATTAAAACAGGAGCAGTGGCCACAACTGAGGAGCCGGTTCCAAAAGGATCTGGACAGACTATGGAAGTAGGCAGGAGACAACAAGATGGCATTCAATGTGGATATGTGCAAGGTCTTGCACTTGGGGCATAGGATAGGTGTCATAAGTACAGGCTAGGTGACAAGTGGCTGGAAAGCAGCACTTGTGAAAGGGACCTCGGGGTACTGGTTGACTGCAGGCTAAACGTGAGTCAGCAGTGTGATGCGGTGGTCAAGAGGGCGAATGCCACCCTTGGTTGCATAGCCAGAAGTGTGGCTTCTAGATCGAGAGAGGTATTATTACCACTCTATACGACTCTGGTACACCCACAACTGGAGTATTGTGCTCAGTTTTGAGCCCCTCATTACAGAAAGGATATAGCCAGGTTGGAGTCAGTGCAGTGTAGGGCCACAAGGTTGGTGGCCGGTTTGCAGGGGATGCCGTATGAGGCGAGACTGAGGGAACTGGGTCTCTTCAGCCTGAAGAAGAGGAGACTCAGAGGGGATATGTTGGCGACATACAGGTATGTGAGGGGATGTCACATGGAGATGGGCAGAGACCTGTTCTCCCCTGCAGAGGAAGGCAGGACGCGCTCCAATGGAGCAAAGCTAAGGGAGCCAGGGTTCCATTTGGATGCCAGGAAGCACTTCCTGACAGTCAGGACCCCGAGGGTGTGGAATGGGCTTCCACGAGAGGTCGTTGAGGCCCCATCGGTGCGGGTGTTAAAAGCTAGGCTGGACGTGGACATGGTGGGCATGTCGTGAGCAAAGCCAGCTGGGGCCAGAGGTCAGACTAGATGGCCTGGGAGACCCCTACTGACTCGTTCTGTTTCTATGTTTCCACAAATCTCTGCTTAGGCAAGGACAGATCACTTCACTCTGGGCTTCATTTATTTTATTATACATTCATCAGAAGGGCCTATCAAGCTTTGCCCTACAACTGATGACTAATGGTTTAATACCAACAGACTGGAGAAGCCTTTTCTTACCGCATGCACTCTTGATGTTTTGAACAACACCTCCCATCCTTCCTAACCATTGACTGATGACTCAAGTTTATGGGAGTGGCAGTTAAAACATTTGGAAGCCATCAGAGTGAGGGAGGTTGAACTAGGCCAGGGATGCCAAAGGAACCAATCCTGCCAGCATGAGGTCTCAAAACAGTCTTGCAGGCCCTCTTTCCCCCAGTCAGCTATAATGTTCCTCCTTTCCAAAAGGTCAAAATGTCTCTCATAAGATTTAATTAATGGCAGTAAAAGTATGCAGGTAAAATATACTGGCCTTCTGGTCTCACCCTGTTGACTTGGACCTCATCCATCCAACCCCCCAAAGCTGCTCTGAAATGGCATCTGGATTTTGGATGAAGGCAGTTCAGTACTCCAGGACCTTGTCAGCACCACCTTGCTCAGACTATCTATGGCGCTGAAGAGCCTCAAATAAAGGTGTTTCACAGCCTCATTGCAAGAGAGATTTCTAACTGGAGAGACCACTAATGGAGCTTTCTGTGCTTGTCACTGAGCCATGGCCCTGCCCAATCATCCAAAGTGTTCCTGAACTATAGCAGGGTTCTTCACTTGCATAACTTGTAGCTCAAGCAGGCATCTTCCAGCTCCCTGTAAAAGATAAGCTGGACAGCTCCCCCCTCGTTCCATGGCTTCTAACAACAAAACACCCCCCAACACACCCACATGCATGCCCTTGCTACAGATCTTTGTTAGCTTCAGGCTCAGGTGGCATTTAGACATGGATTTAGCCCTTAAGATATGTTGCAAGAGGGTGATGGTGACTCCACTCCTAGGAGTCCCTGCTCGGGTGTCCCAGCAGGTGTGCTAAAAGTGCCACTAATCATGGGAGCAAACTAATGTTTTAGACAGTTCAGTCTAGTTCCTTCCCTTCAATTTGTCTTAAAAACTAAACACATTTATCCACACTTCTGGTTTCACCCTCTTTCCCCTCCAAGTCTTGAGTTCTAACTGACCCAGGGCCATATCTTTTCAGAAACACGTCTGCTGTGAAAAGTAGAGAAAACCTACTGGAGTTCATTTTCATACATCCTGTTATCCAAGGCTGAAACTCCAAGGCTAGTCCAAACACATCTGTACTCCCTCCCGCTGACAAATTGCAGAATTTAGGTGAACTATGACCCCTCAGTCTTTTTTCCGACTCTGCCTCACATTTTGTTTAATAACCAGCCTGAAGAAAACTTCTGGAGAACTTACAGGCTTGCACACAATATTCTTTATATATTCTAGTCAATCCTAATGAAAGCATGACCATATCACACAGACTTTGGGATTTTTTTCATAGACCAACATGGCTACGTGATGTATTTTAAATGTCAGACGGTTTCTTTTTATACAGACAGAAAGTGTAGCAAAGACAGTTTGCTGGTGGTAATGGAGGTAGTGGATTTCAAGGCTATGTAGTGAACTTCCCAGTCAAAGAACCATTTTATACCTTCTGTACAGCTATTTTTGTTTGTTTCTCAAGATATTCCAATATGTTATCCTGTAGTCTGTCTAAAAATTCTTCCATATTCCTCAAGAAGGAATGACAACTCACTAGCTGAGCATTCCCCAGTACAATTCAACCAGGAACATGGCATGCATTATGCAGCAGCAAATGATTTATTCTTTTAAGAAATTTCCTAGCTGCTTTTCATTATCAAATAATCCCAAAGCAGAGTACAAAGAATAACCTAAGTAAAAACAAGATGGCATTAAAATAACAAGATTCAGTCAAACAAGGACAAACAGTAACAATTTAACTGTTTGAATGCTGTACAAAAGAAAAAGAGAGAAAAATCAGTCAAAAGTCTGGATAAACATATAGGTCTTGAACTAGTACCAAGAGTTGGTGCCATCCATATATGGAGTGTTTCTATAGTCAGGGTACCTATACGGAGAATGCTAATCTATAAGGTGGCCACCTATCAAAGTATAGGAAAATGCATTGCTTTCAAGAAGGTCTCTACACTCAATCTGAACACTGGGGCAAGCACATGAGGTAAGCAGGGCCTAACCTACATAAGGCTTTACATATCAACAGAGTACCTTAAACATGGCTCAGTAGCTTGTTGGCAGCCATTGCAACTTCCTCAGAACTGATGCAGGATGTCTCTAGTAAGATGATCTGCTCAGTATCCTACTGTTTTGCATTAGCTGCAGTCTCTAGGCCAGTCTTACAGACAGTTACATATAAAACACATTGCAACAGTGCATGGATCACTGTGGCCAGATGGTTCCTGTCTAGGAATGCCTGTAGCTGGTATACCTGCCACAGTTGGTATACCAGTCAAACATAGCTGTAGAGATCAAAGGGACTGGGCCCACTTTTCCTCAAATACAGTATTCCAAAGCAGTTACTTCAGGGTCTGAAAATGAACTGGAAGAAGAGGCAGGGTCAGAATTCTTAGCCATGAATGCTAAGGCCACCATGACCTAAGATAAGTGAAGCGGCTGGTGAGAACCAGACCACCTCAGGTTCTGGAGGAAACAATGTTGAACAGGCAAGGCCAGAGGGGAAGCAATGTAATATACCCAGTTCTGTCAAATCAAAAAAGCAAACAAATTGAGTATCATCCATCATTCCCACAATCTGGCATCATTCCATAAGCTGCAGGAACCTTCCTGAGGGTGGAGCTAATTCCTTTTGGATGGGAAGGGAGGAGGGGTATTCAGCTTGGAATTGGCTTCTTGGAATGAGTGGTAATCACACAAATTAGATAGCTTCCTAATTTGACTGATGTCTTTTGCTAATGAGTTCAGAAGTATTTCTTTTGTAATACTTTTTGACCTGAGCTATACATCTAAGAAAATAAAATACTTTGCCTAAACATACTCAAAGGGTATACTATAGCAGTTTATCCTAAAACATTTGCTACCATTAAACCTGGCAGACATAATGCACTTTTGGTAGCTGAGACTTTAAGAAAATATGTTAGAAATGTTTCTGACACATTGATTAATCTATCTGAAGGCCAAAAACCATCTGGGTAAATACAAGAGGAGGAAACAATTCCTTTTTGCCATTTGCAGGAAAGCTGACTACAGAATGCTGAGTGACTTGGGACAGTGCTGAAAACTGGTGGGGAATGGAATATCCTGAAAGATGGTGTGGCTGGCACTGGGCTCCTCAGCAGCAGCACTTCGCATGGCAACATTTTGATTCAGGTCTCCTTTGCTCTTCCTGTCACAGAATCTTCATATTGAAGAAAACTGCATCTGCTGAATTTTTGCACAGGGGCCCTGCCAGGAAAAAATACTAACCCTGATATCCTTTTCTGGACTAACTTGAGTTAAGGCACAATTGCATGCATGTGTAAACAGTAAAAAGCCCTACAACTCCCAACATAGCCCAACCAGACTAAGGGAAACCTCATGGGTCCAAAAAGGTTACAGCTTGACTAACTTTAGCTGGCTGGAGACCAAAGTATTTCTGGCACATAGTTCATTCCTTTAGAAAGAGTTATCAAGTTTTATCGTATTACTGAACTTAAATCTACTTATTTTATTTTAATTGTATTATAATCCTGTATTACCTCTTTATCTTTTAATGATATGTCTTTCAGTTGTACCAGCTTAAAAGAAGCAGAATCTTATCGAAGGAGTTTAATTGGCTTTGCCTGTTGAGATTAATAGATTTCTACATAAAGGAGAAAGTGTGAGTAGACTTTTTTGTTATACTTACCAGACTTTCTGCTAGTGGTGACAGAATAATAGATAAAAATATTGAAAGAATACAGCAGATTCTGCTACAACATTTTCAGAAGCCCATGGTGACAAATATTCTAGATTAAATTATGTGTCATAATGTATTTAAAGCTTTATAGTAGAAAAATACATATACATTATGGTCAATAGTAAGAACTCACTGGAATTAGCTATGTGTCAATGCTAATGAAAAGATTACTGGGCACAATCCAACAATATTTGGTGGAAAATGAAGTCAAATAGAAACAAATGGAATTTAAGTTAGGCATGACTAAAGTCTAGTTCAGGCATTCCAAGCCATGTGATTTCAAGGCAACCACATGGAGCTTCTCTCTACAAGGCATTTATTGTGTGTTTGTGATTCCTTACTCATGGCAGTTTGTGGGTGCTTTCCACGGCATCGTCATTCTCCAGGACCTCCCCAGTGTTTCCAAACAATTCCTCCAGCTGTTTTTACAGCAAATAAACTGATGCATTATCTCCAAGCGGCAGAATGAGTGGGAATGAAAGGGTCTTGTATTTTTGTGCCACCTTCTACAAGTCTATGATTCTTGTAGTTGTGTAACAGTACATCTAATAAGACAGAGAAAGAAAAACCTAGGGCAGAAAGACCTCATGTAAAGCTTCCGTATAGCCTGAAGTGCCTGATCCTGCCTAAGCTTGGGAGCTAAGCAGAGTCAGGCCTGGTTGAAATCTGGATAGGTGACTTAAATATTGTAAACCGCCCAGAGAGCTCTGGCTTTGGGCAGTATAAACATGCAATGTAATCTGATTTAATGTTAATTCATAAAGGAGCTGACAAAGAATCCCACAAAGAATCTAGAGGCAGAAGAATCAACAAAGTAGCGGGTTAAAAGTCCCCTGCCGCAGTCACCTATACTGCCCCCCCACACACACATTGAGGAAATATCTGAAGAGAAGAGTCCGCCCTACACAAGTGTTTTGAAATCTTTCCCATTGCTTTCATTGGGAATTGTTTTCAGGTTGTTCCCAGGAGTTCCATAAACCTGCATGCTCAATTTAAAGACCATCGTGAAGAAATATAAGGAACCTCCTCATTTTCCTCCAATACCTCTTGGTTGCAGAATACTGTACACCTTCCCAGGTGCTAACAAGTTTGGTATTCTAAAAGATATGAAAAAACAAACTTTAAGAACAAAATAGATCTCGTTGTTAGTCTGCTCTTCATGATAATATAATGCAGATGGTGCCATCTACTGGTTGCCTGATAAAATTATCCCAGAAGACTAAATGGCTGGAATGAACAAACAAAACACCTTTGTGCAAGGCCATCTTCAGTCCTCAATTACTCTCCCATTCTGCTTTAAAAATCTAAAAACTAGGTAATGAAAGAGACTCCTTGGTGTGCCATATATTCCACGTTTCTGAGCTGCAGCAAGTGAACTTCAGCCACAGGACTAAGCAGACGTTATTGAAAGTACCACAGCAATGTGATGTTACCTTAGTTGCTATTTGTTGAGATGAAACATGATGGGAAAACCTGGAAGTGTTTTTCTGGCTCATAAATTGTTTGGCTACAAAGGCTGGGGAGATTAGGGCCTTGGATGGGGGCAGCGGGGGGGAGAGAAAGCATGTACAAGACTTACCCAGTGTTTGAAGCCCATTGCTGTGGCAGACCCAGGGGGCTCAGGTTTTGGATATCATAGGAAACAACTAATGTGAAATCCAGAAATCTTGAAACAAATCTGTCTAAATCCAGCTGCCCCAGCTGTTCTTCGGAACAGAGCCATAACTTTGGAAGCAACGTTTTACAAACAGGATTTCACATCAATGCCAGCTCCGTGGCACCTGTGCCTTGACCTCTGATCTCAACAGAAGGATCGAAGGAACAAGAATAAATGTTGGATGGATTCACCAGATAAAACTATTGTTGCATTATGAGGAATACTGTTTGTTCTTCCAAAGATGACTTCTCAATAGGCAGCTGCTCTCCTCCTCGGTCATTGGCACGATGGGACACCACCGTTAAGAGACTGCAGATCTACGCAAACAAGGATGGCTGCATGGTTGTATGGATGCAGGTGTGCATGGTTGCAGATTCAGCAAGTGGATTCAGCTTCCTGGATTTGAAAGTATCCTGCCACTTGGCCCAGTGAGCAATCCTTTGGTAAGCCATATGATTCTCATGCCCCTAGCAATAGCCAGTTGAGCTTCACCTATGCCATGCCATCCCTAATCTGCATGATTTGCCAGTGCTGAAACATTCTTAGAGCTAATGTCATCACAATAAATGCAAGGTTCCAACTCATGCTCACCAACATGGGCAACAAATAGGTTAGGGGAGTCCTACACATAGAGGATGTAGAAGATGTTGTTTCACTTCTTAAATCTCTTGAAAATGCCCTGTTCACAACCCCAAGCAGAAGCACAAGTTCTCTGAATATTTGGCACATTTCTGAACCTGTGATCACATTAAATGTGTGGGGTTTTTTTTAAATCATGCACTTTCAAATGCACATTTTTCAAATACAATATGCATGTTCACTCTTAAGTCAATGGGAGAAAGTGCACATTATAGGAAATTCTGTTCAGAAATTTGCATTTTCTCTTTCAAGAAGGTTAAAAACAGGTCAAAAACAAACATGTTAGTGAGCCTAAATGACCTTCCAAGTGATTTTCAGAGAATGTACTCAAACTTGCTGGTTTTCCCAGCCTTAATTACATGGGAAGATTGGGGAAGGGGATACTTAATCCTTTCCATGCCTACTGAATCTTCCCTGCAAGTCTCCATCAGGGCCCTTCCTCAGCCCTGTTTCAGTGCCCAGTTGTGTGTGTGTGTGTGTGGGGGGGGGTTAATAAATTACTTATAGGGCATTAATGACTAATCAGCATGGGAGAAAGGGTTAAATAGGCCTTCCTGCTTGCTACTAGATGCTACAAAGGAAACACCTGGGGTTGAGAATTCCATAGCCCCCTCATGTTGACTAGTATAGTGCTTAAACGCCCTTAAAACTCCTCACAGCTCAAAATGTAGTGGCTGCTTCCTTGATGAACAAAATAGGAACAATCATGCTTTTTCCCCTGTAGAGAAATAATAAAATACCAATAGACTGTCAGGTATAAAGAGAACTTGTAGACTACTGAACAGAGACATTGGGTGGGCTTGGACAATACATGGAATGCAGTATGGGTCAAACACCAGAGGCCCCATGACGTTCCTGATAGATGATTGGGCACGTCATGGGGTTTGGCCCTCTCATCCTTCCTGCAGGTATCCCATAGGACACTGCAAGAACACCACGGTTTCTCATCACTTCCCACTGCTTGCCATAGATTCCATTCAAGCGTCTTCTTTTTTTCAGAGATCAAGAGAAAGCTGCCTTCCTGTGGTCACCTGACCTTTGCCATTGCTCCCAAGGTGCCAGTAAGACGGTGGAAGGAGATGGGAAGCCTCTGCCAACCACCCCCAAGTGCTACATGGACACTTTGAAAGTGGTTGGCACTGTGCTTGCTGAGTAGCTGCTTAGCAAGAGCAGCCATGGGTTTTTGCTACTCTTGCCAAGCAGCTCCCTTGACCTATGGCGGCTTGTGACCATTCCACTACATGCCTGGATTGTCAAGGTGGCTCATGCACTGAGGTGAAGCTGCCCTGACAAAGCTGTGGCGGGGTCATATGACACACCAACCTGCCATGGTTTATAAGCCACGGTTTCTGTGCCATGCAACCCAGGCACTGATTTTGTGTATGTGGTGGCAGAGAGAAGTCTGGGTGGAATGGCCGTTACATAGCACATTCCTCTAACTTGTGGTATTCTCTATTTAAAGGGCACAAAGAATCATTGGAAGGAGAGCCTGGGCCTTGAAATTTATCATTTCTGGACAGCAGATTGAACAGGCATGCAAGTTACCTGCTCATAGTCTTCCTGCTATGGTGAGATATAAACTATTATAGTTACATTATAACAAATATTTCTATATTTGCATCCAGTAATGTAATTCGCTGAATTTACTTTAGCAGGGTACCTGAGTGGATCAGGCCCCATCAGGCCAGATATATCTATGTATATATAAATATAATCTAATAAGTAAATAAGTATATAAACTAGCACATGGAAATTGCTTGTAAATACGTATCAACCTTTGCGCACTATGGAATGGTGGATTTGCAACCCTAAGTGTGGGTCCTCATAACATACAACATAATCCACATCCTCATTGGTCATCCTCATTCCAAAATTGAATGTTATTTAGCCAATATTAAAGCAAAACTGTTAGGTTCAATTATCTGAAATGCTAAAAGAATTGACTACCTTAAACTATACAAAAATACTACAAAGAAGTAGATGTTTTCTAGCCTCGGGAAGGGAAGAATTATAGACAGGTGCTTTAGAAGAAGTAATGGATCTCCTCAGAATAAAAACAGTGGAGAAGTAATCATTTTTACATCAATAATAAAGACCTTTAATTCTGTGCCTCCACTTGAGCCAATCAATAGAGGTTACAAATGTTCAGCATAAGGCTATATATTCCAAACTAAGCTTACATTTAAAATGTCGAAGGATTGGGCACCAAGCCAAGTTAAATAAAATAAAATAAAGCAACATGTCTATGTGGAGAATAAATCATCCTTTGGAATGTCCAGGCACCATAATAAAACTGTAACATTTCTGGGCCCTTTTTCACCACTGTGCTTTCCCAGTTTTACACCCATTTCACTTCTCTGTAATCAATAATCACTATAGGTCCTGAAGATATATAGGGGAAAAAAGCAGTGAAGCACACAATGTAGAGTCTTCATCCCCTATTTAATTGATTAGTTATCAAAAGATAACTAAAGACTAGGGAAGATCAGTACCGGTGGCCCTCTTCTTTGAGAGGAAGCGCTACAGGGCTATTTTTCTTCCCAGTCACAGTGGCTGTTCTATGAGCACACAGCAAATGGCAGTTCCCATGGCATTTATACCACAATCAGGTGCCACGCTCTATTGCAGGGGTGTTGACCCTCCTTCAGGCCAGGGGCCAAATCCCACCTCAGGGAAGCTCTTGCAGGCCACATTCCAGCAGAGGGCATGGCTGAGGGTGGAAGGCAAAAGCAGTGGGCCAAAAGGCCAGTTTGTTTTAGCTTTGTGCCAGGAACAAAGCCTTGGGTGAGACATTACAACACTCTGGAATGAGGGTGGAAACTGCACAAAAGCTGGGAAGGCACCCAGCCATCACTGATTGAGGGGAAAAGGAAAGGAGCTATGAGTGGCTATCAAGGGAATTCCAAAGGCACTGAAGGCTGGTGAATCCAGTGGCAGTGGGATGGTGTAGCCACTCTGGCTTTTAGTCTGAGCTTTAAAGGAACTATCCATAGCACTGAACTGTATCCCCTGTCCCTCCTAAAATAGCTTGAGTGCCATGGGTAGCTCCTTAGGAGTTAAGAATACAGCCCAGAGTGGATATGCCACCTCACTGACACTGGACTCAGCAGCCTCCACTGTACAGAAGGCCAAACTTAGACCCCAGATTTGGCCCACTGAGGCCCTGCACACCTCCTCCCATGTGTAGTTTTGTGGTTGTGGGAGAAGTAGGAGGACTTTCACCAATCACATGTGCTTTATCATCCGTGTTTCTATCATGAGCATCTGCCACAAGCACATGGTGCAGAGCTGCCATTGCAGGAGAAGTGAAAGGCCAGGTAGCTGCTTCAAGCTGCTTGTTTAAAATTTCTGTGCGCACATGTGCAGCTGTGCAGGAAAGTGCTAAAAATAAATTGCGGGGTTGTTTGCCTCAGCATCGCTGAATATCCGTACAGAATATGGATGTCTTGCCTGCAATGAAGTGAAGTAGGAGAGGAGAACCTATTGCAAAACAGTTTCGGTGTTTTTAAAGGCACCCCCACTGATAAGAGTTGGAATACCACTGAAGTTGCTTGGAGGAACACAGAAACTGTGAGGACTACAACAGCAAAATGACATAGAATTAAATAAAGGGGGAAATGGAATACAGTGGTACCTTGGCTCACGAACTTAATCCATTCCACGACTCTGGTCACGACCCAAATTGGGGAAATCCCCATAAGGTTCAATGTAAATAAGGTTAATCCGTTCTGCAACCATTTTTTAATCACAAAAATGTGAAACAAAGTGACAAAGAACAACAAATATCGCGGCCATCTCCCCCCCCCCCCCCCAGGATGATCGCAGCTATCTCCACCCGCCCCTCCAAGCACAACTGTGATCGCAATCGCAATCACCACCTGATGCAGAGTTTGTGATCTGAGGCAAAATTTTTCTGAAATTTCTCTTTGTGACCCAATTTGGTCGTGAATTGAGGCATTTGTGAGCCTAGTTACCACTGTATTGAGGGGGAAATAACAGTAGGGCAACCAACTGGGGGCTGCTTTGTATTCCACATGAGTGAGCTACAGGTTATAGTACTCGGATAAAACACTTGTGTGGATCAACCCCAATCAATCCAATTTGGATCCTTGTAGAATTTGGCACATACAGCCAAAGTAGGTACATTTTGCTTTCTAAACTTCAGATGGCAGCTGAGGCAATAGGAGGAACTGGTGATTATTGAAGTCACACAGCAGGGAAAGGCATTTCTTCTCTGCTGGAGTCTCTGGGGAATGCAGACTTTTAGGGAGGATAGGATAGGATAGGATAGGATAGGATAGGATAGGATAGGTGAACCCAGAACCTCCCTTACATGTTCTTTCAGTGCTGGAGAAAATGTCTGAATGCTCCTGCCATCACCACTGCAGATGACTAGAGAGTGGTACTTAGAAGAAGAAGAACTAGAACTAGAAGACACTCTGCACCAGTGGAAGCAGTGGAACTATGGAACCACTTTCAGTTACACAAGGATGAGACTGGAGGGCATCCTGCCATGGAAGAACTGCAAGTCAAACACAAAAAAGGAACCAAATGCTTTGTTATAAGATGGGGAATCCTTGGCTCAGCGATACTGCAAGTGAAAAGGGTTGTGGAATGGTTATAGATTGCAAGCTGAAAATGAGTCAACAGTGTGATGTGGCTGCAAAAAGGGCAAATGCTATTTTAGGTTGCATTAATAGAAGGATCACTTCCAAATCCATGAAGTGCTAGTTCCCCTTTCCTCAACACTGGTTAGGCCTCATCTGGATTACTGTGTGCAGTTCTGGACACCATAGTTGAAGAAAGTTGCAGGCAGGCTGGAAAGGGAGCGGAGGAGAGCAAAAAGGATGATCCAGGGACTGAAAACAAAGCCCTCTGAGGAGAGATTCAAAGAACTGGGCATGTTTAGCCTTGACAGGAGAGATATGATAGCACCCTATGAGTACTTGAAAGACTGTCACAAAAAGGAAGGACAAAATTTCCTCTTGATCATCCCAGAGTGAAGGACATGAAATAATGGACTTAGTTACAGGGAGCCAGATTCCAGCTAGATATCAAGAAAAGTTGCCTGTTAGAGCAGTATGGCAATAGAACCAATGACCTAGAGAGGTTGTAGATTCTCCCATGCTAGAGGCATTCAAGATGCAACTGGACAGCCATCTGAGAGAGATGGTTTAACTTGGAGCCCTGCACCGAGCAGGGGGTTGGACCTGATGGCCCTCTCTACTACTCTATGATTGTATAATTTCCCAGCGTAGCAGGAATCAAGTGGCTGAAGTAGCCAATAGGGTTCCAGTGACCTCACAAAGCTGACCTTCCAGCTTTGGCCTTAATCCAAGCAAGGTGACCTCTGTACCAGTTGACCTGACTACAGGCTTGCTCAGTAACTACATGCTTTTAGACTTCTGACTGCTTTGTCATGTACACATTATCTGAAGCAGCAAAATGATTAATAGAGAGTGAAAGACCTGAGAACCTGTTATTGCCTCTATCATCTATTGGGGTGATTATCATTAGCGGATGGGAGGACATGGGAAAATTGGTCTGGTTGCACCTTAAACAGTGAGAAGATCCCAATATGGGCTAAGTAATACCGTAGGTCTGCTTCACCGATTAAAAACTTTGCTTATTTAACTTGATTTATTGCTGAGGTCAATAGCTGGTGCGCTGGACTACAAAACGTAATGAGATAATTAAGCTAAAACCTATGTCAAAAGGAGAAGACTAGCTTAGCTTTCAGCATAAATCCACTGTTAATGTACTAATACATTCATTTACTGCTCTGAGAAATCACTATTATTGGATTTGAGACATACCAGTTAATATAATGCATGAACAATTTGGCCTAAGAGGAAAGGTATATGGTTACTAGAAGAGGTTCTATATTTTCTCTGTGTTATTGGAAACAAAGTATTGTATTGTAGAAGGACACCAATTTCCAGAAAATTATGGAATTATATATTATCTTCCTCCATACATTTGAGGTGAAGAGGCACTGCTTTCAGGCCAGAAAGCATGGCCTGGAGTTAGACTTTGGACCTTCCTTCTGACGAATGGCTGGTTTGTGTCCAGTGGTTGGGCTCCCAGTTTGCAAAGAGCTTTCTTTTCTTCCCTGCAAGACTTTTCTGGAAGTGTGGACAGAGCCTGGTATTAATGATTTATTTGGCTAGTTGGCTTGCCCATTCCAAAGGAGAAGGAAGCCAGCGCAAGTAGAATTTGTTTCTTATTTAAGATGGGTGACAGGAAACTTTAGTGCTTGCTACCAAAATAGGGTCTTTTAGTGCATTATTTTACAAGTGTAATTATGTTTAACTTCTTGTTACTCATCCTGTGATTTATGGAGAAAGTGAGTTTGAAATGTCAGAAGTCAATGGATCAGCAAAAAACAATCATAACAGGAGAATCAATTTAAGGTCTTTAAAATGTTTATTTTTCTCCATGGGAAATACCTTTGTTCTACTCTATTTCCTAGTTTGCGGGAGGTCTTCTTTCCTTATTTATTTATTATATTTATACTCCAGCTTTTTTGCTTTTCTTAAATAAAGTATATAGCACAAAAATAGGAATC